GAAGGAATCTTTCACCCATCAAAATATCAGAAATTTGTAGTGTTTTTTAAATTTAACTTACATGTAGCATATGTATACATATATATTCCCCTACCGTGGTGTGATCTATATCAGATTATTGGAAAATTGGAAATCAGCCTAATGTCTTATCACACATACGAGTTCAACTATTAACTGTACCAAATGCTTCCAGGGTTTTAATTAACTTCACGGCGGCATTGAAGACAATTGGATTGAAGCCCAATGAGTTTGCCTAGGTACTCTTTGATATTTTCTATGCTATTCCCATTTGCTAAAACCACCTTTCAAAACAATGCCTCAGTAATACTAGACTTGATATGTAAAGTTTCAGATTAAAACCCTGCTCTGATATTACTGACAGCATCCATCATCATAAAATCAATGATTTGTTTGAAATATTATACTAATACGATCCCAAAATGAAAATATAGCAACATTTTCAGTCACAGTTGAATCAGTATAGAACAAGTAGTACATGTATATATTCAGGAAATTACATCAAATAACACTTTACATGAGAAATACATATGGGTTGTAGTCCTCCTGTCAGCAAGCCATAACACCAAAGTCAACTTTCAACAAATAAACCTATATTAATTTTTTAATTCAGATTATGTTCTGTAGATAATGGTTTATTACCGGTATGTCCCAAATAAAAAGAAATTATAGAAAAAAATGTGGTGTAAAAATGTATAGCATTCGTAAAAGATCAGAGCGGCAACATGTATGGAAGCAATTTGTGGCTCTGTAACTTCACAAATGAAATCAGTATATACTTTTAGACACCCGTGGTTACTGTTTTTTGATCATAGTAGTACTAACCATCCAAACAATTGTATTTGCTCAATTAGAAGTGTATATGCTTACATAAATTACAGGTGTTTCTATGGTTTAACGATTCAGTAATAATGTGATTTTGGGTGTATGTGCATTTCCAATGGAGATGCACTTCTAATAGAGCAAATACAGTATATATATAATTGCCACAGAAACATTCCATATTTGTGACTACATGACAGGGCTGTATAGCAATCTCTCTACAAACCAGACCTGGCTAGCAGAATAGAGGTACCCCCGGTACTTGTAAGGTTATCAAAGTTGCATCAATCAGTGAATTATGAAATAAAAACCTACTTCCAACAGAATTATCAATGGCTTCTTGTGCTTTCTGAATACCAAGTCTGAATTCCTCTAATTCCGTCCTCAGTTTATGACCCCGGTGATAAAACACTAATGCCATCTCAAAATCACCCATCTGGTAGAGTGCCTCTGCTTTCTGGTAAAGCCCCTTGATGAATTCCTTGTCTTCGGACAGAGCTGATTCTGCATCTCTGAGGGCAGCCTGAGAATCCCCAAGCTGTAGGTAACACTTGGATCTAGCTACAAGGCATCCTTTGTCAGAGGGTTCGATCTCCAAAGCCTGTGAAAAATAAAAATGTTAAATTTAAGATCTGACAACTCAAATATTATAATGTATGAGGTAGGGCATAGGAATATTTACCCAATAGTACTAGTATTTTTATAGCAAGATAGAAAAGAACTACATAGATAATGACAAGTAATTCTTAAACATCGGAACCAGGCATCTACAGCTATTACATTTTAGTGGAAAAACACTTTCAATTTTAAAATACAAACGCAGATTACCAGTTCATAACTATCCAATGCCCTATAGAAGTCTCTCTTTCGAACATGGTTTTCTGCTTCACCAAGATAAGATTGGAACAGTTTCTCTAATTCCTCCCTGGGCATTTGTTCGAAGTTTTCTTCTCCGTAGCCTGTCATCGCGATCAAAATTAGAGTCGAGCAGTAAAACGCCGAATATCACAGGGACTTGCTATGTTGTTGTGACAGCAAACCAATATGGCGGTCTCGCTTCTCGTTGGCAGGCAACGCGTTCTGCCCTCAAGTTTCATAAAATATTCATTCACTAATGTCAGGATCGATTATTATAATCAACTTCATGAATACAAAGGCAGCTTTAATTCGTTTATTGATTGGATTCTGTTGTTACGAGCGAAAATAGGAAATTGAAAGGATCCCTCGACCGTAAAATAGAACTGCAACTAAAGGCACCAATCACAACACAGCACAAATAACTTTATTAGTTGTCTGGACAAAACGATTTTTTAATTAAAGGTGTGAGATATAATATAACTGACCAGAGGGGTAAAATCAGACCAATTGAGGGACATGTTATTAATGTTATATTTGAAGGAACGTTGAACAAATCTGGCACTATATAAGCTTACCGTGTTGTAACTATCCAAAGCTTTTTTATATTCGCCTTGTTTGAACAAAACATCACCTTCTGCCACGTAAATGGAGAAAGAGCTTCTAGGCAGCTCTTCCGAGCCATCTTCGTCTTCATACATTTTTAAATAAAATGATTTCCAGACCAAGAAACACGTCGATATTGATTTGGTCGCTGATTTTACGGTGCAGTGACCGATGTCAACACAGCAACAAAATGGCGTTCACCTAGCAACTATTCTGCGCATATGACAATGCGCATTTGAACAGCGCCACCACTAAGCGGTATGTTCATGCTTTTCTTTTTAAGAAAAACAAGTCATTGTCAATGACACGTCCCCGTTCCGTTCATATTTGAGTGACATATACATTCAAAGCAGATCATGACCGAAATCTCAGACCATCTGAAATGCACCTGCATATGTACAACACATTGTACTAAATCTGAACAAAATCCATCCATGCATGACTGAGATCCGGTTCCGGAATTGTGAAAATACGTGATTTTGATGCATTTTCGGCCTTAAAATGGCCATCATTCAGCTATTGTTAAGCGGATCATGAAACAAATGCACATATCTATTTGTGACATGATACCATGTGTGTGTGAAGTTTGAACTTGATCAATCCAGACATGTCTCAGATCTGGATCCAGAACTGAATTCTTTAAAACAAAATGGCCGCCAGTCGGCTATTTCGAACTTGATCCGAAAAAAAAGACGTGCATCAAGGTCCTATTATGTTTAATGTATGCACCAAATTTGAACAAAATCCGTCCATGCATAACTGAGATCCGGGTCCGGAATGGTGAAAATGTGCGATTTCAATGCATTTTCGGCCTTAAAGCGGCCGCCATTTGGCTATCGTTAATGAGATCATGA